CACTAAAGGGGTGTACAGTTAAACTGTATTTAGTCTGACATTATGTCAAACTGCCTTACAAGAAACATTCAGTAAATAAAGATAAGATTAAAAAAAGCAGAAATGTTAAGAGTTTTCCAATGAAATCACTTATAAGTATGACCGGATCTGTTGTCTCTCTATCCTTGTCACATCCCATTTCTCCAGAGCCCTCCCATCCTATAGGAAACCCCCTACCCCAATCTGCCCAGCTATATCCTACTCTGTCTACCTTTAGGTGATCCCTGAAAACTCATCTCTTCAGGGAAGCCTATCCCAGCTCTACCTAACAACTGAACTATTACTTTCTCAAACAACTCATCCCCACATTTGTATTACATTTTGCATCACTTGCCCCTCCCTTTTAGATTGTAAGCTCTCACAAACAGGGCCCACCTAACACTCTCGTATTATGTATTGTGTTATAACTGTACTGCCTCCCTTTATTTTGTAAAGCACTGTGCAAACTGTTGCTGCTATATAAATCCTGAATAATAATATTAAAGCAGAACTCCGGGCAAAATTATTATTAACCCTTGCAGTGGGCTACCCCCCACTGCAAGGGTTAACTGCTCGTTTTTTCTAGGGACTACAGTAAAAAAGTTATACTCACCTGATCCTTGGAGCTGGCTGGCTCTTAGACTGGTTCTTCCAGCCTCGCTTCCCTCTGTTGCAAGGATCCTCGTGTCATCATGTCCAATACGCTGTATATTAGACATGAGGATGCCAAGGGACTTACCATCACTGCGACGTAAGAGGGGCAAGGCTGGAGGGAGCACTGTGACTGCTGGCCGCTCCAAGGTTCTGGTCAGTATAACTTTTTTATTTTATACAGAAATACAAACAAAAGCAGAGATGGATGAGTACCTTAGGGTTTTTTGCAGATAGTGGTTGCAATGCTGAGCGAGGGGCCCGATGTAGTGCAAAAATTCTACCAGTGCACCACCAATGTGTGGGTGTGTGTGTGTGTGTGTGTGTGTGTGGGAAGGGGAAAAGTGTGAAGCATGTCAGTATAAACAGCACTCGGTATAAATGAGTCAGGTGCCCACATTGGAGCTATACCCATATTGTCTGAGAGATGCGCCGAAACTTGAGATAAAGGTTCTAGCACCACTCTCTTATAGGGGAACATCCATTACAAATTTGCTTTCAGTTATACCTCTGTGTAAATATGTACCTATAGCTAGCCAGCAAAGAGACATCATCTGAGTGAAAACTGGCTTGCTCAGGTGGCCATTGGTATGTGCATTGCCCTAGTCCCTGGGTTTACAATGGTCAAATACATTGATCAAATTTTGTCCGAGTCCTGCTGACTTTGCCCAAATTCGATCAGTGCATGGCCCCTTCGGGTCCCCCCATTAAGTAAAAGTCTATTTTTCAAATGACTTTTGTCTAAGGAGCTGGTCCAAAGATTTTTGGCCAAACAACCAAACAGGAGAGTCGAGACAAGAATGCCCCCAAAAAAGTAGGTGCTAGACAGCAGAGGCACTTGGATGGAAGAAATTAAGTAACCATGTTTCTTCAATTTAGACTTTTATTCCATTAAACATACACATATCTAACACTATCTCAACGTGTATCATTTTTATCCCATGCAACATACACATATCTAGCACTATCTCAACGTGTATCGTTTTTATCCCATGAAACATACACATATCTAGCACTATCTCAACGTGTATCGTTTTTATCCCATGAAACATACACATATCTAGCACTATCTCAACGTGTATCGTTTTTATCCCATGAAACATACACATATCTACCACTCTCTCAACGTGTATCGTTTTTATCCCATGAAACATACACATATCTAACACTATCTAAACGTGTATCGTTTTTATCCCATGAATCATACACATATCTAACACTATCTAAACGTGTATCGTTTTTATCCCATGAAACATACACATATCTAACACTATCTCAGCGTGTATCGTTTTTATCCCATGCAACATACACATATCTAACACTATCTCAACGTGTAATGTTTTTATCCCATGAAACATACACATATCTAACACTATCTAAACGTGTATCGTTTTTATCCCATGCAACATACACATATCTAACACTATCTCAACGTGTAATGTTTTTATACCATGCAACATACACATATCTAACACTATCTAAACGTGTATCGTTTTTATCCCATGAAACATACACATATCTAACGCTATCTCAACGTGTAGGTTTCATGGAATAAAAGTGTAAATTGTCTTGCACCTTTGTTTTTGTGGGGCATTCTTGGTTCTTCTCTCCAGTACACATCAGGTCCCTCTAGCTGCCAAGCCCTGGATCATCCTAACTCCACCCCAACAAACATCGAAAGCGACCATCCTGCGTGGGGACAGAAATATTCACTGCAAGCCTTTACTGCACCTTAGGTTGCCTGAAGTCCCCTAGGGGATTTCTCGCAACCTTATCTATGTGAGTATTGAACTCTTTCTTCTTTATTCACCTAAAACGTAGCTATCCATAGCTTTGTAATATAAATACTACACTTAATCTGATCCCTCCTTGGACTTTTTGTCCTCAATTTTGTTGCTCCTACTATTGGTCGGAGTTGGCTCTCCTTCAAAGCTTCAAAGCTGCTATCGGTGTTCCGGTATTTTGACAGTGGCACACCGCTGTTGGAATATAATAACCCGTTGGGGGGATGGAAGAATTGAGCATTTTTTTGTGATCACTGTATGGTCAGACTGTATATAAAAAAATAATGACTACAGTCCTCAATTAAAATGTTAGGCAAACAGAGACACTAATGACTGGATTTGAAACTGTTTGCCCAATAATTGTTGACCCGACTCTTTAAATTAACTTTTGTCAAGCCACCTGATGCTAGCTGGGCCACCTATAGGTCGAATTTGAGTCGCCTATGACCATTTTTAAGAGCCACCACCTTGGAGCTTCATATCTGTGCACCTTATGTATGTTTGCTTTCATCTTGCCACTTTTCTTCAAACTGTGTATTCAGTTTGCAATTTCACAAAAATAAAGACTGCTTTAGGAATGCTAATCTTTGGGAAATGTATTTAAAAGACTCGTAAAGCTGAACTCCAAGCAGATATGAAAAACAAAACACAAATGAATGTAGTAAATTACTACTAGTAGTAATGTATTGATTACAAATAATCTAATGCATTTTACATAATAATTGATTTCAGAAATATGAAAGCTGCTATTGATGGACTCCTTTGGAAATTCTAGCTGACCGGCTCTTGTGCTTAATCAGTAGTTTCAGTATTTTTTTAGTCACTGACCTGGAACAAGTACACAGATAAGAAAAATTGGAGAAAAGTCAGGAATCTGAAAAATATCTGCAAAGAGACTCCAGTGACAGAGGACACTGCCCTTAAAATTATAGCCCTCCTCAACATAACTGATGGTATAATTATCAGGTTAAGCTATATGGAAAAGATAAAGCAGCTCAGTTGAAAAAAATCCCTGCTATATTTCACAGGGATATCCCTAAACAAATTCTTTGCTATATATTTTGCAGCAAAGATTGCAAGCACTTACACCAATTTCTTATATGCAGTATATATATATACACACATACATATACTGTATGTATATATATATATATACTG